GCGCCGGGGCTCCGGCCGCCGGTGGCCTCATGCCGGCCGTGCCTCCTTCCCGCTCCACGGCGGCGTCGGCTGGGTCTCTAGCCGGGGTTGGTTTCGCCGCTGCGGTGGCTGCTCTCATGGCCTTGTATTAGAGTTAACAGCTGGTTGAGTGTTTTTTTTTAATTTCAATGGGGGGTGGGGAGGTGTTTCCCACCGGATTTATTTATTGGCCTAAAACCGGCCCGTTATATAGTTATTATACAAGGTGTTTGCTTACATATCATCATACAGGTGGTGATGATAGTTGTGTGTCAAAAATAAGAATGAGCACTAGTCATCCATGTCTTGCTGATTCGAAAACCTGACACGCTGGTTGAGTGGTTGCTCATCAGTAGCTCTTATTTGTATTGATTATTAGTTTGTATATACGCTTTGTTACAGCTGATGATACGCGCTCATTCTTTTCCGAATACATATGGTGTCCTGACTTGATCATGTGATGTACATGTAAGTAATTGAGGTCATTATGTAGTATGACACACTGGATTTAAACATACATACAATTTATTGACACTGGATTTTATTTTCAGTTGCATGCATGCAAATATTGATTTGACTTGCCATTAATTGGACATGATTAGCTAGTCATTTTATCCCCTGATCAGATGACGACTAGCCAATTCAGTGACTGGTTTCAAATTTCAATAATTTGGTTGACAAATGAGACCTACGAGCCGAGTAAAGGATATGCTTCTATCATAGTTTTTAATTGTTTCAATTATGTTTCCAGGTAAATATTTTGCTTATTTGCAACAGATTTATTGAAGGGCAAGGGGGGGATTGGGGGGTGTCCGAGAAATAGTTTCTACACCAAGAAATCAGGTCTTCACTGTGAGACCCCGCTCAATGGGCCAAGTTGGGCCGGTCTGATGGGCTGTGCCAAATGGTCAAGTACTGTAGCTACGGGCTTTAGTCCCATGCCAGGACCTGAGAGGAAACTGATCTAACTTAAAAGCCTGAGCCTAGGAAGAAATAAACTCTGGTTCGAACCTTTTGTGCGAAGCGAGGACAAAAGCACAAGCGAGTTAATTAGTAGGTGTGATCCATTCAATGTGTAGAGTGGATCATTCCCGGGTCGGGGCATTACATTCACGTGCATGTAGGTTGCAGGCCACAAGAATGGATCTATACCATGTAGACAGCTTCGTTTCTATGGCCTCCATCTGATCCGATACTCCCCCGAACAATTTTCTCTCTGGCACTGTAGGCTGTGACCCTAGTACTTAGCAGATAATACATAGCACTCAGATTCAACTCTATCCGACTAGATTTCTTCGTAACAAACTAGTAAATCAATCTTTAAAGCGACCAGGACTCTATCTGTAACCCTATCCCCGGACTATATAAGGAGCGGTAGAGCATCCCTCATTGTTGATCCCAACGTAGATCCCATGATCAACCCAACTTAGGTCCTGAATAGATCGAGCTCATCTTCCAGATAGCTCCGCCCATAGACACATCTTTGTGATCCCAAACTTGCAATCTACCTCAGAGAGTGGATTCTTTGACAAAGCTCTCGAGGTCGATTGACAGAGCGGATTCTTTGACAAATCATTTGACAAAGCTCCTCAGAGCGGATTCTCACTGAGAATCACTCCTCAACCAAATAGCAAAACTGTGCACAGATTCTGGTGGGGAGCAAATAAGGATCACTTCTCCATTTACACTAGAAGATAGGAGCTAAAAACCCCGGCTCCTCATCATTCCATATTCATTTCCCCACATTAATCACTTTACAATCAATTCTCGTATGCTCCCACCACCGAACTCAAGTAGAATCACTTCACTAGAGAATCAAGAAGAGCTAGAGAATATAGGAGTGGAGCTCTGCCAAACAAGCTCTTAGAATTGGTGGATTTAGGACATACTTAGAATCCCACTTATATATGGATGGAGGAGGAGTAAGGGTTTTTTTTGTAGGGTGTGGGCTTCCTAAAAAAATGACCGAGTTAAAAGAGAAGCCACATTTTGGTGGCTTTAGCTTCCCAAAAAGTAACATTTGACTTCACTGTTTTTATCTTGGTTTTGGCTTCAGAAGCCATTCTCGTAAGTGCTCATTTGGTGGGGCTTTTGATTATGCCGACGAAGAAGCCACAACAAAACCCATGACAAACATAATCTAAGTAACAACGTACGTAAAAACCACAGAGGAGCTATTATAGCTATTTGGTATGGAGATCAAACTAAAACTAATTAATCTATACTAATCTAAGAGTTATTTATTCTCTGAAATGACCATGCGCTGAACTTAAATCCGTCCACATTTCACTAACAACACATAAATGAGTGGTCAACGTACGCTATGTAAACAGGCCGTATAATTAGGGTTCATGCATCCTCCACAAGCAAGCTGATCCAGAAACCTAGTAGCTACCTTATCTTGCCTCTAGATTTGGGCCTAACAACCAATGTAGGAGTATTCTATTGTGACCAACCCACTACATAAACACCAGTAGCGTACGTGTTCATTCAGATCCTTCATAACAACACAAGAAAGTGAGAAACAAATGGATGTCTCCACTACCGGCAGTGCCAGTTCCTTCCTCTTCCTCGCACTTGTATGCTTGTCTACTACTCATCTCCCTCTCTCTGCCAGCGCAAGACATTTCCCTCGCAAGTATGGCAGCACAAGCTCTAGCGCCATGATCAACAATGGCAGCAGCAAGCTCTCCTGGCCACTGTTACCATGGAAGAAGTCTAGCAGCAGCCATGGCTTAGGGAGCGGCCACGGGTTCGGCTGGACCATCTCACACAACGGGACGGACACCAACATCGGATTCGGCGGCGGTGTCGGCGGCTGCATCGGCACAAACAGCTCCGGCGGCTCGGCACGGGCGGCGGAGCTGGTCTTGGGGTCGACATCAGCATCGGCAAGGGTGGAGTGGACGTGGCGATCGGTGTCGCCGGAGGCGGCGCCGTCGGTACCGGCAACGGCAGCGCGAGTGTCGGCGCTGGCGGTGGAGAAGGCGTCGGAATCCACTTCGGCCCCGACGGCGTGACCGTCACCCATGGCGGTGACGCAGACGTGGGCGTTGGCGGTTCCGGCAGCGGCACTGGCGTTGGACGTGCCGGCAGTGCTGTAGGTAGCGCCCATGGCTCTGGAGATGCAAGCGGTGGAACAGGGACCGGTGGAGGGAGTGGAGCTGGCTCTGGCCAGGCAGGTTATGGAGGCGGCGGTGGCGGCACCGGAAGCAGTGGTGGCCATCCGTGAGGACTGACTATCCTGTGTATGTGAAGGTCAAGGGAGTAAGGTTAATTATGTGCTATGTAGCGGGTAACCATGCATTCTTGTGTGATGGTTGTCGTGGTGAACTGTTAATCATGTAATGTAGGTCAGTAGGTGTAGGGATTATGTGGTGTTTTTAGCTTCTGTTGAATGAATATTTAGGTGCGGATTATTCCACATAATATTGGTTCATGAAGTTTAAGACCTACATGCATGAGTAGTGAATGATCTGGCGACATGAAGTGAAAAACTGCTGTTGGCGACTGATCTGAAGAATTATATGTCGCAGCAGCTAGAGACTTACTATTGAAGCAATACTCGATCCATCAACTGGTTTTAGGACCTGTTTGGATCACTAGACTAAAGTTTTTAGTCCATCGTTAGACAATAAGCTTAACATGGGATGATTAAAAATTTCTTTTTTTTTCTAACGAGTTCTACTCATCATTTGGTCTCTATTAATTTTTTAAAACCATGATTAGTTCATGTTTAGGTTTTCTATTTGACATCCAAAGCATGGACTAAAATTTAGTTTAGTCCATCCAAACGCCTCCTTACTTTGAGGAACAGTACTAGTAGTTAGTCCAACAAGCAAGACTTGTTTAAAAAAATGCTTTCATTGGATCAAGCGCTTTTGGGGCCGGGTTGTATATATCCAAGCAATATTTTTGCCAAGTGTATAGACGAAAGCATTCAAGAACATGTGTACACTGAGCACTATCTGAAAATGGACGAGTAAACCAAGGTACAAGAATGTGCTTTGCTTCCCACAGGTACAAGCTAGCTGTTTATTGCAGCTAACATGCATGTGGTCACTTTGTTATTGGTGTAATAAGCGGTGGTGGACATGCACGCACACACTGGCTGCTTGTTAGGTAAGGTTTTGTTCATTATATAGTACTATACAGAACTGGTAATTCATGTGATCCAGCAGTAATTAGCGACTTTCACTCTTCTTGGATCCTGTGTTATTCTGTGTGGGTATTCTACAGTATCTTGACCTCGTGTATCGATTAAGTTATACCAGTTGGAGTACATGCAACACTTTGTTCATTGATAATTTGAAATGGTCGTCGTCCAAATTGATTTAATCGACGTTTTCTTCCACAATATATATATATCTTGGAAATTGGAATTGACTAATTATTATTTGATCAAATCGATGTTTTATTTCGCAATATATTGGAATGGAATAAATACATTAACTGATCATATATATATAATTTTGAACGAGAACTCACCATATATAATTTGAACAAAACCTAATCTATCTATCTTCTACTATAAAAGAGCGAATGAATTGAAAAATATGTTTCACCAAAAGTTTTCTACCTACCCTATATCTAAACCATCGGATGACTAAACATCTTTAAATCTGATGATGTACCTTAATCAGGTTGCCTCTACGATCTTAGGCATCCGTAAGACATGTTTGCGCGTTCCTGCCATATAAATCATTGGCGATCATCCTCCTCCGGCGTTTTTTTTTTCACCGGCAAATTTCTTTACCCGCGCGCAAATGTACCCACTGTTGTCCATAAATCTCGCCGTCGCCCTATCCGCATTACGCCCGCCGCCCGCACCTGGTGCACGGGTCTTCGTCGGTCCCTTCGCTAGCTAGGTTTTCGTCGAGCCCTTCGCCGGCTGCCGGATCTCTCCATCTGAGGGTGAAATCACCCTCTCATCTCCGTGATTGCAGGCACAAGTCAATCGTTAGCGTACGGGTTCCTCGACCATGTCGACGTCCATGGCCACCACCACGCCCACGACGATAAGGGCCACGGCGCCAGTGAAGCCCCGCGCCGCGGCTATGCGCAGCTACCTCCTCCTCCTCCCCTCCACCGGCCGCCGCAGCGTCGCGGCGTGGTCTGCGAAGAAGAAGAACCCGTGGCTGGACCCGTTCGATGACGGGCCCGACGAGGAGTTCGACTACCAGGGCATGTTCTCCGGCGGGAAGCAGGAGGAGGACCCGCGCCCGCCCGAGAACCCTGCGAACCCGTACGGGTTCCTGCGGTTCCCGCAGGGCTACAACCCGGAGCTGGACAGCCTGGCCTCCAAGGTCCGCGGCGACGTGCGGCGCGCGTGCTGCGTCGTGTCGGGCGGCGTGTACGAGAGCGTGCTCTTCTTCCCCGTCGTGCAGATGGTCAAGGACCGGTACCCCGGCGTGCTGGTCGACGTGGTGGAGTCGGCCAGGGGCAAGCAGGTGTACGAGATGCGCAAGAACGTCAGGTACGCCAACGTCTACGACCCCGACGACGACTGGCCGGAGCCCACCGAGTACACGCACATGCTCGGTACGTAGGTACTAACTCGAGTGGACTCTGGTAACACGGCAGCAAGGGCCGGTGGTGATGTAGGAGACGCGACATCAAGGCATCAAGCTCGTCAGAGCCTGGGAGATGAGGTTGGTTAGGGACTCTCTTTACCTGTTCGTGTTCCTTTGTCTGATGAATAGGCATAGCTCCTGCAGTCAATTCTATACTAACTTTAATTTTTCCTGGAAGAACATAATTCGGGGCCATATATTTGTTTTAATCTAATTATTCATCTGACTTCACAATTGAGTGTTACTATCTACCACGTAACGTCCAATATTGTAATCTGGCATGTATATTTAATGACTTATGTGTATTTAATGAATGCAGATTTCCTTAAATTACTCGTATTGCATTGTTGCATTTTTTTTACTTGTGTATATTTAATGAATGCAGATTTCTGTAGTCCAATATTGTTGCATCGTTGCATTGGTCTATATTTTCTTTTATATCTGATAGTAGGTAGAGGAACTCCTACGACGGAAGCTTGCTAAAGAGGAAGGAACTTGAAGAATTTGTTCACTTACTCAAGTCTGCCAAAGCATTGCCTATGGAGTCCAAGCCTCCTAAAACTTCATGGTTGGTTCAAGAAAAAGTCAGGGAAAAAATTGAGGCTCTTCAAGCATATGCAGTTGATGCATGTGCCGACGAACAAAGAAAAATTAGCAGGAAATGTAGTATATCAGAAACTTCATGGTTGGTCCACTATCTTTTTTTTACCATACACAATATCGTAGTTAAATCTTGAATTTGCATACAATACCATGGTCTGTTGAATGTCCAGAAACGATCGAGAAACCTAATTTATAGTAATTAGCTTAATGAGTATTAATTTGCTCATAAAAGTCAGTAGTCCAAATAATTTTTAATTTATTACAATTCTGTATTGAATGAGGTTGTTAAGTTTTTCATCTTTTGATGTTTGTGAAGTTGGTTTTTAGGGCCTCTTTGGCACGGCTTATGCCGGCTTCGGTTTCATCTATTTTGCGCAAATCGAGGCACTGTAGCGTGAAGCCGTTTTGTAAGCCGGGGTTAAAATGAACTAGAAGCCGGAAAAAGCCAATTTTTTCTAACTTCACCGGCTTTGGCTTTACCGGTGAAGCCGTTTTGGATGAGCCGTGCCAAAGGGGACTTTAATGTAATCACATATTCTCAGAGCTATGGGATTCACGAGGACATCATCAGCTGCTCTAATGTTGGATAGTTCCCTGTGCATGTCAATCTCGACCTTTTCAGGTATAATATCTGACTTCTACCACGTGACTTGATGGTGGCGCCGAGAGGAGAGGGGACGGAGGTCAGAGCTGGAGAGGCCAGCCAAAACAACTTTACAAATTACAATCGATGAAATGTATTTTACCCTATAATATTTCTTTTCATGTAGCACGAAGGATTATAATAAAAAAATCAAATAAAATTTTGAAGCTTCTATAAATATATATGCGGCTATTTTCTTATTGCAGTTTCTGAAGAATGAGCCTTTATTGGCACTTAGCAAGGCTAATATGCAGCTTACTACTAGAAAACAATTGTTGGTAGTAGTGTTATTAAGTCGTTCAATTAACCGTGACTAGTCATGATTAGCCAGCCTTGTACATGTGTCACTTTCATTGAGGAGTGTGACTCGGTAGTTTGGAATCATGAATCCAAAGGCAAGTACTTGGTTCAGTCTCGGTATGTGGTGGTGAGTTTGAGAGGTTTTACCCCAGTGTATACTCCAGCGACTTGGGACATTAAGATCCCCCATAGGCTTTGTTTGGCTGCACACAAATCGACCCCAATCCAATTCCACCTCAATCCCTCCCAAACCACGTGGATTGATGTAGATTTGTGTGCAGCCAAACAAGCTCATAGAGTTCAAATTACCCCGGTGTGTAACAACTTTCTGACAAGGGATAATTTGAGTACAAGGAGACGTGCGGAAGATAGTACTTGTTTGTTTTGTTGTGAACATAAGATTGTACAACATTTATTCTTCTCTTGTTGTCTGGCTAAGAATGTGTGGAATCATTCCAGAGTTCCTAGGGCCGTCTCACCGGAGGGGAGGAGGGGCACGCTCGCCGAAGGAGGAGGAGGCAGCCGCGCTCGCCCGCCGGAGAAGGAGGAGGCAGCCGCACTGTGTCTCCTCGGCAATCTCCCTTTCTGGTGCTCCTGTGTCTCCGCCGGTGTAGATGAGTTTTTTTGTGTGTTCAACCCTGCTCCTTTGTCTGTGATGTACGAATCGATTTGTGGATGGGTTGATTTGTGATGTGTTGAACCCTTCTCCTTTGTCTACGATGCACGAATTGATTTGTGGATGTTTTTCTTATGTGTTGAATCCGTCCTTTATCTGTGATGTATGATTTTTTTCTTGGATGAAATGCTCGATGTAGTGGCGGCGGTAGCCAACGAGCATGGCGGCGGCAGCGAGCATGCTCCAGCCAGCATGCTTGATGGATTGCTTTTTTTTGTTTTTCTAAACCTTATCACTGCCGGGTGAAGTACCGACAGCAGTAGCCAGCGAGCATCACTGCCGATATGCCAAATCCGGCAGTGAAGGGAGATTTTGAACCGGCAGTGATATCGAAAACTGGGTAGTGAGCTTAAGAAAAATGCGAAGATTCTGATATCAGTGCTAGAGAGGGTCCAATGCATGGGGATTGACACATGCGTGCCGCACGTGCATGTTCAGTAGTCATACAAATGGCATTGATCTCTCCAAATTGCACCTATTTTGTCCATCTCAGCTTGTTTGTAAAAGAATGCAGCAATCTGTTTTCATTTTACTGTACCCAAATTTGGAAGGGAGAGGCCCATTTTGTGGCATTCAACTACCGTCTGAGTTTGGTTTTACCCAGAATTTTTGAAAACCGTGAATCTTTGTCCATCCAACAACTATTGAAACCATTCACATTTAGGTATCTAGCTATTTTAATGGGTGGTTTTGCTAACGTTGACAACAAGTCACAGTGGGGCCCATATGATCATTCAGCTTGTTCGGCTCAAGGATTGCAGCTTATTTGTAGCTCCAGCAGCAGCTATAATTTCTCTCTGCTAGCACTGTAGCAGCGTCTGTTTTTGGCTGTAACTTATCTTCTTCCCTGTCTATCCTTTACTTGCGCCCCCCCCCCCACACACACACACCACCAATCTGTTGCCACTGCAAGCCATAGTCCACTTTGCCAGGCACCCGTCCTCTACCTGTTAGTGAATGGCGAGCGCGTGGACATTGTGAGGGATATGCATGTGGACCCCGACAAACCACAAGTCCTCTCAAGTTCGTCCGCACCCACTTCACCGGCCAAAAGCTCTAGCTATAGCAAAGGCCCACCACCGCACCTCCCCTCCCCCCTTGTTTTTAGGTAGTTTTTCTTTTGGGCTGTTTTGAACCCTTGGATCTCACCAATATATACAACCTTATATCAATCGATGTGAAAGGTTTCAACTCATTTTTTGTTAAATTTATCCATAACATAATAGCCATCCTGCAGTATCAACTTTGATTCTCATAGCATTTTTTCTAGATTGGATCCTCACTTTACTTTAGCAAATTGAGCTGGCGAGCTCAGGCCCATTTTACTGCAGGCAGATGTAGAGCTTTTGTGGTGTTGCTCTCCACCCATGACGTGGCGTCAAGTGCAGTGTCATATTTCTTGGACAATATTGTAAAATTGAATCACATGTAACAAAAAAACCTACATGACGAGGTGGCGGAAGGTGGTCTTGGCGAGCGGGGTCATAGATGGCGTTGGTGACAACGTCCTTGAGTAGTTACCAGTTGCATCACCAAAGTAGAGGGAGTTGAGCCAGGCGAGGACCTTGCCGTGGTAGACGTGTAGGACTTAAACATCACTACGGGAAACAGGGTCTTTGCCGAGGGCTAAAAATCGGGCACTCGGCAAAGAGCTATTTTGCCGAGTGCCGCACTCCGCAAAGATATACACTCGGCAAAGGCCCTTTTTGCCGAGTGTCAGGCACTCGGTAAACTTTGGCACTCGGCAAAAAACGGCGTCGGGTAACGGCCACCGCCTGCCGTCCAGGTTTGCCGAGTGCCAGCGGACAGGCACTCGGCAAACCACTTCTTTGCCGAGTGCCAGACCCTGACACTCGGCAAAGCACTAAGGCTGCCGGTTTGCCGAGTGCCAGATCAGGGCACTCGGCAAAGATTTTTTCCTTTTTTTTAAATCTAAACCCTAAACCGCACTCCATCGTATTTAAAAAAAACAAAATTACCACTTTACCGAGTGCCGGGCGGAGAGGCACTCGGCAAACATTTAAAAAAAAATTGGCACGCTCTTTGCCTAGTGTCCCCATGGACACTCGGCAAAGGGACCACTTTGCCGAGTGCCTACCATCTGGCACTCGGCAAAGAGCATATTTGCCGAGTGTCAAAAGATGACACTCGGCAAACAAATTTTTTTTTGTATTTTGACCACCAAACTTTTTATGTAGTCCTCTTACAGTACTTGGTACTCCATGTCGAAATTTGGTACATTTCTCAAACTGTTTACTATATTTATTTAATTTATTTCATTTATTTGAATTTTTTCGAAAAATGCAAATTTGAACTGCACGTGCATCGAATAATGGAATTTAATGATTCAAAAAATGATATTCATGGTATTGAGTGTAGTGTGAGGCCGTATCTAGGAACGGACCCAAAATTTCGAACATCTTGTTCACGAAACATGACCATGAACTTGCGGACGAATTGTTTTTAAATTCTATAAAATGCAAACGAAATCATTTTCAGCAGCCCTCCCCACGCCCCGCCCCGCCCCGCCAGCCCTCCCATGCCGCCCGCCCCGGCCGACCTTCCCCCGCCACCCCCCCCGGCAGCCTCCCTCCTTTGCCCACCCGGCAGCAGCCTCGGCAGCCAGCGCTGCCTCACACCTCGACCCGACGCCTACCTGCCCTGCCACGCTGGCTCTGCCTCCTCGGCCGCGCTGCCCCCTGGCCGTGCCCGTGGACCCTTGCGCATACTGACGCTGCCCGTGCCCGACCACGTTCCCGACTCCGGCGACCCCGACCGCGACCCCAACGCCGCCCGCCCCTACCCCCAGCGCCCGTCAGGTATGCCTTCTCTCTTGTTGTTGTCGTGGTAGTGATAGTTGTAGTAGTAGTGCTAGTGGTAGTAGTAGTATTAGAAGTAGTGGTAGTAGTAGTAGAACTAGTGGTAGTAGTCATAGAAGTAGTGGTAGTAGTAGTAGAACTAGTGGTAGTAGTAGTAGCAATAGTTGTAGTAGTAGTAGAACTAGTGGTAGTAGTAGTAGCAATAGTGGAAGTAGTAGTAGAAGTAGTGGTACTACTTGGATATATTCTTCTGCATGGATTGATATCCAAACTACATGGCTTCTCTTGAGACATATGTGCTTGTCGGCCATCGTGCCGTTGTTTTTTGCAGGTTT